TTTTGTGTTCAATGATTTTCCCCGACCTAAAAGGCATATTCCCCGATCGGGGATTTAGGAGGGTGGTCGGTTTTTTCACCCTAGCTGTTGCCAATGAGTTTTATGTTTCCTTTGCGGATTATGTGACTTTCACACCCAAACTCAGGTTTCTTTGTTATTTTTTTACCAAAAACCTTTGTAGCTTGTATAAGGGGCTGAACTAAATCTTTTAGAGGGTAATCGAGTTTTTTATTCAAAAAAACCCCTAAAATAGGTTGTTCAAACACCAACTTCTCTCCTTCTTCTTTCTGGATCGTGGTATCGATTTAGCAAGAGGAAATCGACGTTTTCTGCTAGCAAATCACCCTAGCCGAATAATCATTCGTATACTTGGCCGCCTTCCCGACTCGTGGATTTGGTTTGGGTTATTATCAGCCTTGTGATCGTTGTGCTTCTAACTGATCTTTGTTGCATTTCTGAATGTTACGTGCAGAAGTTAGAGCCTTGACTTATATCATGCTTGCTTGGGTCGTGCTGCTTATTGGTGTTGTATTGAACTTTCTTGGGCATGACTTGGTTTGGTTGATTGTCACCCACAGAGGGAGGAAGAGTGAGGTTGGGAGTGATATTGAGAGGAAGGAAATGAAGGAGCAGGAGACCGGAGAGATCCTTGGGATATTCTCTCAGGCAGAAGATATGTCAGACAGCTAGGTACTGAGAGAGGTAGGTGGGTTAAGCCCAGGTGGCGTGGGAGGGGTTGGATCATTTGGTTAAGTTTAATTATTTTATCATTAATTTTTATGGCTTGGAGTGCCGACTGGACGTGTGGACCAAAATAACAGAATTTTTGACGAAGAAGGACGGAATGACCATTTTGTTATACGCTTAAATGTTTATTACCAAATCGTACAAAAACAAAAGCTTGTAACCATTATGTATAAAGTGATAAGGTTGTAAGGTTAGTTATCATAAATGGTCACAAACCTATTCACTTTGTACAAAATGGTTACAATTCGTTAATTTTGCACGTTTCGGTAAAACAAGTTTTGAGCAAATTACGAAATGGCCAATCCGTCAATTCCGTCCAAAAATCCGTTACCTTTGCACTATCAGCATGCCACGTCATGTAAAATATTAATAAAAAATTGATAACAAACCCAATTGACTCGGACGAAACCAAACCTAGAATTAAAAAGAAAATATGATTGAAGACCTAGGTCGTTGTCGAGTTCTGACTTGCTCCTGATCATCTGTTGATCACTTGATCTTCTCTATGGGGGAAACCAAAAACCATTCAGTTCCTCTACTCGGCATCGTCATCTCTCACCTCCCCTGCTCGCGTGGTCGTCGTTGTCTCCCGCCTCCGTGCTTGGCATGTGCATCGTCATCGTCGTCCACCTCGCCTGCTCGGCACTAGTCGTCTCCCGCCTCCCTGCTCGGCATGTGCATCGCCATCATCGTCCACCTCCCCTGCTCGGTGTCATTTCCCATCTCTCCTGCTCGGCACTCGAATTGTCGTCGGCCACCTCCCCTCTGACCTATACCCCTCCCCCGCCTTCCCGAAAATTGACTTTCCATTGGCCTATCTAATCACCGTCTACTAACCCTCCCCCTCCTCCGGTGCACGCTCGTCTCAGCGGGTGTAAATCTCATCGGTGCTTTGACCGAGCAATATGGACAAATCGGAGAAGGCCTCGTGGCGCGACGAGGTAGAGGGGGAGGAAGAGGGGGAGGGAGCCCTGCGGGGTAGTGATGTATTTGCTATTGTTGATTACGGGAGGAATCTGAGGAGAAGCTGTTGGTGGAGAAGATGTCGTCCTCGTTGAGCTCGGTGTCCTTATCACGGTGGAGCAGTGGCGGAGTGGTGGAGAAGAAGGCGTGGAGGAAGCGGTCGGGGGAAGGAGGGGATTTCCGGTGGGGGAGTGGTGGAGAAGAACGCTGTCCTATCTCTCTGTCGCCGGCTTTCTCCAATTCTGAAAGGGGTGGGTAAAGAGCTTCTTACGATCAGTTGGGTTGTGTAGGTTAAGTGGGGTGATTAACTAATTATTTAATTAATATTTTTAATGATGTGTCATGCTGACTAGGCAAAATGTAACAGATTTTTGGATGGAATTGGACGGATTGACCATTTCATTATTTGCTCAAACTTGTTTTACCGAAACGTGCAAAATTAAAGAATTGTAACCGTTTTGTACAAAGCGAATAGGTTTGTGACCATTTATGATAACTGCTAACTATTTTGTACTTTGTGGGTAATTAACACTATTTTCCCCAAGGTTGTCAACCCGCGGGTTGACCCGGACCCGGTCAAGCTAGTGGGTCAAGGGTTAATGGATCAACCGTTTTAGCCCGGTTTGGCCCGGAAATATAGAAAGAGTCATTATATTGCACCTATTCTCATAAATTATATCAAATCTTATCTAACATATGAGTTATAACATATAATATTACACCAAAATAACATATCGTACATAGATCCACCATATAGTAAAAATTCACACACACTTATTTAACATAAATATTCAAATGTTCAACTTAGTATTCCAAAGATTGAGTTAGGCGAAAAGAAAAATTGGAAAATAGGCGCATTTCGCAAACTAAAGAAAAAAATGACAGAATTTGACCTCCAACCCGGTACCTAATAGCGGTCGGCCCGGCGGATGCGTGCGGCCCGTTTTTCTCACCGGGTTAGGGTCAAATTGGGTCGACCCGTGGGTCAACCCGGTTGACAACCTTGATTTTCCCCCAAAATTTGAAATGCAACGTCGCGGGATAGAAAGAGGAAATATATCTGCGCGCTCACAAATAGCGCGGTCGCTCAAGCTCTTATCCCAATTTCCGAAAGCAGCAACGCTAGCTCGAGAAATTCGAATTTCCTCCGATCTCATTCTCTTCCCTTCACTTTTCTCCTCTTCCACCTCTTCTTCCTCACGATGAGAGGGCTTATGAGAGCATTTTTTGGGGCTTCCGCTGCTAATTTCACCTCTGATCGGAAGAGCAGAGTTGGCGCCGACATAACCGACCGGAGGACTCAGCTTCGTCCCGAGAAGTTGAGACTAGCTGCGCAGGCGACCTCGGGACTCGGTGCCGTCGGATTCAACTTGGATGCATTTGCGGAGCTTACAGACGAGGAGGATCGGAGCTGTTTTTTGGTGGCTGGGAAGGTGACCTACGCCGGGATTGAGCAGGTTGTAGGGCTGCAGGCTTTGGTGAAGTTCCACCACACCAAAGAGGCGGCTCTGCGGAGAGCGGTGGAGGTGTATTCTCGGTACAACAGTGGTCCGTGGACTGCCTTAGTCGTGTCTTTGCTGCTGAGGAGTTCCACTCCGATTTCCAGTTCGGCTCCGACGAGCGCGGGCTTCGATGTGAAGGCTGCGAAGCCTTTCTCCCTTGTTCCGAAGGCTGGTGGGAACAGTTCGTGGATTCTCAATCCGGAGGATTTCACTCCACCGCAGCCGAATACCGGACTTGGCGGTTTTGGATTCGACCTGAAGAATTTCGAGGAGATGACCAATGGGAAGTTCAGCTGGTTTTACCTTTCCGGGATGATCACTTACGCCGGAGTTGAGGAGTTAGAAGGAGTGGAGGCCTGGGTGTTTCTTGACCATACCAAGAATGCGGCGAAGTGGAATGCGATTAAGATATGGTACGATTACAACCACGGTTTCCTTCCTGCCCGAGATCTAGGGTTGTCTTACCTGGTGAGCAAGGTGAAATCGGCGATCGGGGCCGATAAATTGGAGAAAGAAGGTAGGATTTCTATCTTGATTTAGCGTAAGTTGACTAGAATGGAATTCAATTGATTAATTGAGGTATGAGTATAGTCTGTTTGGAAACTAATAGATTGCAATTTTTCAGTTCCTGCTGCAACCGTTGCCACTGCAACCGTTGCCACCACTATCGGAGGCTTGAAGACACAGGGGAAGGAGAGTATCCCGATGGCGACCAAGAAAGAAGGTAGGATTTCTATCTTGATTTAGCGTAAGTTGACTAGAATGGAATTCAATTGATTAATTGAGGTATGAGTATAGTCTGTTTGGAACTAATAGATTGCAATTTTTCAGTTCCTGCTGCAACCGTTGCCACTGCAACCGTTGCCACCACTATCGGAGGCTCGAAGACACAGGAGAAGGAGAGTATCCCGATGGCGACCAAGAAAGAAGGAGGCGGGAATTGATCACCTATCGGAGGTTCATGACAAGCAACTAACAGAACCCTTTTACTTCGTAGGCCTATCGATCACCTAAGTTTGGAAGTGAGGGTACTCTTAAGTACTAAACCTTGCATTTCAACGTTCTGGTTCACTCTTTCTCTCAGTACAAAGCACTAATTGGGTATGTAGATTACAGCTTATGTGTAGATAAATTTTGAATCATCGGATTATGGTTCCAATGGGTACATAGATGGCTTGTTCTTTCTGGCACCATCTCGCAGATGAGTGTACAAATTGCTTATGATTGCCCTTAACGACCACAACCCTTTTACCTTTTCATATCGTCGATTAGGCCAGCGACGATCTAGGATATCTGGTTTTCTTAAATTTGGGTGGCCCTCCATTTTGTTCTTTTGTTGAGGAGATTACTCTTAAAGCCAGTATATGTGCTATGCTGATAGATAGGCTTATGAAGGATGCATAAGAGAACACACTTGTCCATGATACTTTGTATCTGACTGTGAACTCTGTGTTATCTCGTTCCGCAATGGGTTTTATAGTTTCTTTGATGGTATCGCTTTTTGGGATTGATCGGCAGGTCACAAAGGATTTTTTTTTGTCTACAATCTTCTGCTATTCTTAGTTGATTTTGTTCGGAGATCCATTTAGCAGGTGGTGCTGTGCCTAATGTCTGTATGGACCCTGGCTATTTGCCCATCTGTTAACGAGTGTTGGACAGATTGGATCCAGAACTCAGTTGTGCTTAGAAAAAGTACTACAAGTAACTAAATCTCCTTTTCGGAATTAATACACTCCCAAACAAGCATTCAAACAGAGTTTTCTAAAATCTCGTCATCTTGCGCGGAATATGAGCAAGTTTTATGGAACTTGGAAACTGATAAGAGATGCGTCAAACCTTGAGTAGAGATGTGTTGCTTTGAACAGCAGAATGGATTACAAGCAGACATCGTTCACAACGATTACAACCTTGAGTAGACATCGTTCACAATGACGAATTACGATACAAATGAAAGAAGTGTTGCCTTTCTTTTTCTATCAATGCACAACAGTGTTTCCTTTCAATTACCAACACAACAGTTACGATCGAGCTGACTAAATGAAAAATGCCCTTTCTTTGTTTCTCTCTACCATAGTTGATCTGGAAAACCATCAAGACTCTAGCAGGGTCAGTCTATGAAATGAGGAAAGCTACTTGGACTTTTTCAGGAGGTTTGAGGTGGCGAGCTCGGCATCATCTCTAACGAAGCTCCACCACACGTATGTGAGAGGAATGGTTGTGGCATGCCAAATTGAATGAGCATCGAAGTAGCCTTTGTATGGAGGGAAGTCGTAGATCTCCAGCAGCACCGCCAGCCCACCTCCGATCACTGGTACCCAGACCTTCCATCGAGACGGATGGCGGCTCACCCCTGCCCAAATCGCCCACGTGAGAAGCTGGGTGATACCCATTGCGACACAGACTATGATGTTCCATCCTGCAAGAAGACAGAATTCACATTATTGTCTTGGTCCAGACTCGAAAAGACATTATTACTTGGGACTCAAGTGAAATGACACGAAGAAGTGGAAAGAAGCTGTTATTACCGTAGTCCATCTTGTAAAAGTTGAGGTACAGTATATGGGTTGTGATAAATGCGAGTAGTGGAGCTGCGACCATGACTCTGGAAGCTTCTTCCTTAATGTTGAAGCTTCTTAGGATGGAAAGTATAAGCGAGTATCCGACCAATGCTACTGCGGATGAGTAGTCTAGCTTCTCCGTCAAGTCAACATCTCTGCAACTCGGTCGAGAAAATGGAAGTGAAAAAGGTAAGGTAAGGATCGGGAAAAAACTGCAGTTAAGATGGGAAGCAAACAGACCTAATCAGTTGGACGAAGTTATACAAGCAGCAGAAGACGAGATTATAAAGCCAGACAGTTAAACTGAACCTCATGGAAGAACAAGATGAAGATTATAAGTAAGCTCTAGTGCAACTTCGTTTTTGTATGATTTAATGGCATGCATTGTTTGCATCATTGATCTATGCTCTGATGAGAGAGTCATTCTTATAGGCCATAGCAGAAAATTAGTTCCATAATCCATAGTGCTTGTTTCATAACATAGAAACAGGAACTTACCGACTATGGAAAATAATGCTCCAGAACCAGGAGTTACATGACAAGAGTCCATAGATGTGCCACAAAGGGGTGTATTCGTAGTAGGTCTTCTTGTCATATCTCAAGGGCAACTTGTAGTATAGAAGGATGATTAATGATAGCCAACCATGAAAATGAGCATAAAGGTTCAGTGCAGAGAAAGCCACAGAGGCAACTTCCTGGAGGGAGAAGGACATGTTAATGAATATACTGGCTAGATCTCAAATCAACTAAAGGAACACCACAGCTACTAATATCAGTGCGGAAGAAACTCAAACCTGAATGCCGAAGACACGTTTGAAGGGCCATTTTCCATGGTATTTGAGTGGACCATAACCTTGTTTTGCTCTCTCTTCTTCTCTGGCAAGCATGCAGAAATACCTGCACTCACTCTCACAGCCCCACTGTTTCCAGCGTTGATAGAGCGGCTCTTGGGTGTACCATGGACTATCATGAGAGGCACCATGAGAAGAATAGTTGCACTGGGCAAAGCAGGTTTCACCAACGCAGCCATCTCTCTCACATACTGTCACACAGCTCCTAAACAAAAGCCCAAAGGCAAACACCGAAGCGGAAAAGATCAGCAGGATGTTCAATTAGTGTTTCACAGGGAGAGCAAACACAGAACATTAACATAGAAAGATGGAAGACATATATTAAACATGTGAGAGCTAGCTCAATCATTCGAAAGCAATGTGAGTATAGGAAAAACACTGTACGAATTTCTGGGAAAATGAGAGGTTCTAGCGAGTAAACAATGCACTGGTAGTATTCTATTAAGCGTCCATCCGTGTAAGCATATGGTCGAGTGACAGTAAAATTTACCTGTAAACTGGATGAGCATCACCAGGGCTGGCTTGTGCAGTATATAGAAGACATAGCAGCACCAGGGAGAAGCCTAACCAATGTCGTCCTATCATCTAACAAGGAAAAAGAATCGAAGTCAGAAACTCAACACTTCAGGGAGAAATAGATAACAAGTTCATGAAAAATAGCCATTATAACATCTACATCAAGTCTCCATTTCCTAGGAAGAACTAAACCCTACACCCTAATCTGGCTCCGCAAGAAGGAAGGAATGCACCAGCTGATCTGCCTATCAATGGAGAGCAGCTCAAACCTTAGGCAACTGCAGCGATTTCCACAAGTTTCACCTCATTATCATTGCATTGAATTCAGCAAGGGAAGTAAAGAAGATGCTTTTCGCAGCAAACAGATCGATCAAAGCAGGTAGCAGCTTATAGGCATCTACAGTTCTCTACAATTGAAGATTCGGCAGAGAACAAACACATGAAAGAAAGAAAACGGAAGAAACAGAGAATCTTCACCAAATATGGCTCGGCCGCTAGACAGGAAGTGAAGAATACAGCACAACTGCGGCATTCGATCAAAATCAAAATTCTCAGTAGTATTCGCCATGATAGATTCCGGAGAATACAATACACCGCAAGCAGCAAATTGGACGAGAAAAAGTGGAAAGCACAGATCAAGAAGAGAGCTAGCTGGATGATGCTACCTTGGTGGAACCGGCGGCGACGAAACGAGCTATCCGGCGGCTGAATCAGTTTGAAGATTCTTCCAATGGAGACGAAGAAGATTTACGCATTTTATTAATCAAAACCCCGAGATGCTGTGGACACTTCAGATGAATTGCCTGCAGGGGGAGACTGAGAATGGAGAAATGGGGAATGAATGTCTTGAAAATATTAACGTTTACGGACCGTGATGAAGCCCGCAAGGCCCTGGTTGATATTGGTCCAAAGGCCCAAGTACAGAGTGGGGCCTGAGATCCAATTGGCTTTCCCTTCTGCCGCCCACCAATAGTTAGGGGTGCAATTGGTTTGGTCGGGTTGCCATCCGTCCATAACTTGTAGCGCTGGTTATTATTCGCAATGAAAAACATATTTTGAAATATCTCTTGGTTTTCAAATTTGATTGGAGTGCTTGTGAGTCAGTTGTGATGGTTTTGAGCTAAACGTATCTTGATTAATACATCTAATCATTCATAAAAGTGGTTAAGAATTCGACTCGTTGGTCGGTCTGAGAATAGGGGTAGGCTGGTAGCCCATCTAGTGCCGAAAAGACCCCTTCATCATTCTCGAGTTTGGTAGGGTTCGATTTCTGTTCTTGAATGCGTGTATCGATGTGACTCTAGTGTAACTCTTCTTTCTCGATAATTCTAGTTATCTTTTGGGTGGAATTTTTTTTTTGCAATGAACTAAATACTGATCCAATTAAATCGAGATTAACCTAATTTGATCCAATTGAGATTGTGTCATATATCCCATCATTATTTCTTTTAATTGAATTTCAGATAATTTTTTTGTTCCCTTCGATCTTAATAAAATAAAAATATAGAAAAAAAATTGGTCCAAGCAATAATAGTCTTCCAAGCAAACTTTTGGCGGAATACTTAGTTGGGTTCTAGCCATTCTTTGTGATGTTATTAGGCTCATCAGATTATGGGACTCAATGATGTTCAGGTTGTTTGATTAGAAGCCAAAAGTTTCAGTATCACGTCGTCATTCAACCAACGTGTGATACATACACACAATTAACCAATATTAAATGGGGTATTAATCTATCTAATCGTGGTTAGCATTGGTTAACCCACCTTTGGCTGCTGTTGTTCTTATCATAGTCTACAGCCACTTCCACGAGTTTTGTTTGACTAGGGAATTTCTTAATCTTAGTGTTGCAAATAAGTCAAATCTCCCAAATGTTAGGAGTGCCGTTTTCTATTAGAATTTGGCCAACCCAAAGGGTCAAACGACATCATTATTATTGTTTCCATCTCCCTTAGTTGAAAACTAATGGTCAAAAGAGAGCTAATTTGTTTACTCTTTGGCAAGAAACACAACCATTACTTAACAATTGATCATTGTTTTGGATGAATAGTCTAAGAGATTCTCTCGAGCTTAATCCAAAAATTTAGTGTAAAAGTAGCAATTGTCTTGTGACTCTATCCAATTGATTTGAGTTCACCTTATATGTTAAAATGTTCGTCGTACATGACTAATGAAAGTAATACCATTGTGTCTCCATTTTTTCTCTCGCTTTGCCGATGTTGTTGTTGTGCTCTGTAAAATAAGGTAGTTTTGGTTCAACTGATTCTGCTTGTGTTTGCTCGAATCAGTCTTCCTGATCTCTGCATTGTACTTTTCCTTGCGTATTTTCTAATGATAATTTTCTCAACCTTATAAAAACAATAATACTATTATCAAAACAATGTCAACTCAAAACTCAAAAGTTGTTAATTACCCCCACATTCTCAAATATTGAAAATGAAACATATAATATTCCAATTAATATGGGTTCTTACATGCTCTTTTTTCTTTCGGTGTTGAAATGCACTCATATATATCTATCTCTGTTAGCACTATGGTATTACTCTACTAATGTGAGTCCACAATGAGAGTATAGTATACGACCCTAATTAAATCATATTTTTTTCTCTCTCTCTCTCTAATTGAAGATCTTCTGGCCAGGGGACAAGATGAACTTGGGATCGAACTGGGCTTTCTTCTGCTGAAAACCAGCCCACTTCGGCCCAAAATGCTTGATCCAGTCCTGCTGCGTGGAATGACCCGCCAGGTACTGCTTGACCTTAATCCCAGCCTTCTCACAATACGCCAGCACGGCAGCGTTTTGGTCCTGATACTTCTGCCAGTCACCCACGTTGCTCTGACTCAGCAACGAGAACGCATAGAAAATCTCCTCGTCAGGTATAACCACCGACATCTTGTCATCCCACCTGGAAAAACCCAATAATCATAATTAATACGAAACGAAATGAACCGAATCGTTGCCCACCCCTAACGACGTAAAAGATGATCAAACTATCTCTGCGTCGCGAGTCGCGACTTACTTGTTGCGGTTGACCGGGTAGAAGAGGACGGGTCCGACGGTGATGTTGGCTCGCATGACGATGTCCCTAACGACGCCGTCGTTGAACTGTGACACGCCGGATTTCGGCACGAAAAGGTTCAACCACGGGTGGGCCAGCGGGATCGACGGGTCGGGGACCGGGACTCTGGTCAGAAACTCGTAGTAGGTCACGTCTTTCATGGCAGCTAGGCCGCGGTCGTTCTTTAGCTGCCTGATCAGCTGCTTCATTTGCTACAATAGGCCAACACAAACAACAAGTATACGTAAGTTAACACTAGTAATTATACTAGACGAATGCATGCATGGTGATACGGTGCCGTTTTATTAATTAGTTACCTGGTCCTTGATCGCCTCGTTGGCGGGGTTGTAGTACATGACGACCTCCAAGGCGTAAACGATGCCCTTTTCGTTGACGAGGGAGGTTATGGTGGGGATGGCGTCTGTCGGGAAGAAGCTGGTCTCCCACAGGTTTGGAGTGCCGTTGTCGAGTAAAACCTGGCCTTCGATGTAATCGACCGAATCGGGGTGCGCGTTGTTGGCGATGATCTTCTCCTGGTCGCTGCTGAAAGTCGCGAAATCGCTGTACAAAAGTCGTGCCCATTTTACCTGCACAATATCACAAGTCACACGAATGAGATTAACGGTTATTTAGTTAGTTACGTTCTACCGAATGGTTGACTTTTTTTTTTTAGTTAAGTGACGGGTACGGCTGGTGGTGGTATATAGTGTGGGTGGTGGTGCAGACTGTTGCAAAGGGATATGTGGTTTGGTGCATTGCACGGGCTTTTAGTTACAGGAGCTATAGCGACGACTTTTCGTTGGTTTTGCTTCAAGTTTTGACTTGTTATTTTTCAATTCACAGTAATGGAAATGGTCGGCCAATATTTATATTATAATAATCCAATTTATAAGCAAGACAGGCCAAGAAAGGCAATTTTGGGAGTTGGTCGGCCAGTTATGTATTATAATAGTAATTACTATAATCCAATTTTTAAGCAAGACAAGCCTAGAAAGGGAAATTTTGGAGTTGAATACAATCAATGGTAAATATATCTAACCAAAAAAAAAAAAAAACTAGTTCCACGTACAGAAAACAAACACAATTTAAAAGTCAAAGCTTATAAAAACCATTGTGATTTACAAAACCAGTTCTCTAAACAATTTCCAAAATCAATCAAAACCCTACACTAAACTAACTGTAGTCAAAGAAACCCCATTTTCAGCTATATATAATTTATTTATTGGTTGCTAGTAGTTTGATTCTTAAAACTGAAACCCTTGAACCCTTCAAAAAAATGGTTGTTAGATCCATGGAAATACCTGAACCTGAGCAATGTTATGTTGTATAACTACCTCTATAATTTATCTATAATTTTTTGTTTTTTGGTAGCTAGTATTTGATTCTCAAAATTGAGAACCTTGAACCCTTCAAAAAACGGTTGTTAGATCCTCGAAAATACCTGAACCTGAACAATGTTATGTTGTAACTACCAAAGAGCTAAGCAAGAGAGGAGACAAATTCTTAAGTTGGTAGCACATCACAACAATAAGTATAATAATAATCATAAATAAAATATCAATTTCACTGGATACGCTAAAGATTTGTACGCAATATAGTATAAATACACACAACAGAGTGGTTGACTTGTTTCATAAAATACAGTTTGACCATCTATTAATTCCTTAAAAAAATTAAAAGGTAACGTACCCTTTGGGGAGCTGGAGCCAAGGCAATCCTTGCTCTGGTAATCACTCCAAACTGCCCTAAACCGCCCAAAACTCCATAGAACAGCTCAGAGCTCTTGTTTGCCGAGCAGGTCACCACCTCTCCTTTCCCTTCATCAAGCAACAAACCATATCCAAAAATTCAGCACCACAAATCACCAAAACATAACAAACGATATATAACACCGTTGGAAAAAAAAAAAAATTGTCATGCATGGAAATTAATCTCAGTAAATATAAATGTTATTACCTGTAACGACGTCCATCTCGTGAACATTGGCGATCTGTGGCCCGAACCGGAAAGCCTGGCCGCCGAGCCCAGCGTTGGAGAGCGTGCCACCGACGGTCAGGTACAGGAAGTCGGTCCACGTCACCGGTGCAACTCCCAGCTTCAGTGCCTCGGTCAGCACCTCGATCCACAGCGCCCCGCCGCTGACGTCAGCAAACGTACGGTCCGAGGACACCACAATTTTCGTTCCCGCGTTTCCACCAGTACTCAAGCTCTGCATGTTCAAAACGACGCCGTCGCTGACCATCCCTTGCCCTTTGGTACAGTGGCCGTTCCCTCTGGCGGCTACGCCGTAAGGGAGGGAGCAGTTGTACGACGTCGTTATCAGCAGGGAGATGTCCTCGACGGATCTCGGGTGTGCGACGGCGGCCGGCTCCACGTGGACCATGTTGCCGTAGTCGGCGGAGGCGGCCAGTTTGGTGAGCTGGTCGGTGAGGAGGACCGGCGAGAGCTCGAGCGGGAGGGGACACGTGGCGGTGAGGAGGGGTGGTGGTAGTACTTGAGAAGTGGAGAGGGTGAGCATTGTTGCGAGGAATGAAACGGCGAGGAGGAGGGTCGTTTTGGCGGCCATGGTTAGGTCTTGTGGAGATCGAGTAAGGGAATTGGAAGAAGAAGGAGATTGATTGATTGAGAGTGGGAAATGGTGAGGAGAAGAAGTGGGGAGGAGAGAGTTGTATTTATAAGGGGGGGAAGAGGACTAAGGAGTGGCGCTGCATGGAAAACGAGAAGGAGTGCAACTAAGGTAACCACTAACCTAGCCGGCCAACAGTTTTTGGTTCTTAATTTTATAATAATGGGGGGAAACTATAAAAATAGAGAAGGAAATTGAAAGTCATCGTTTATAATGTTTATTAATTTTGGGTTATCGATTGACCTCTTGCACTGATGCATGTATGTTTTCTTGGAATTACCGATTAAGTGCTAATGCTAGTTTTATTATTAAAATATAAATCATGACTTCGAATCAAGGATTGCTAAATCGTATCGTATGGTTTGATTGGATTGTAAAATTCATATACCTTCATCTAACTCGGTATGATATGCAGATATTATGAAAATACCATGTCAGTATATTTTACGCTGTAAAATTGATAATTTTCGAGAATATTATTGGTCGGTTTGGATAGTATTAAAACAGTAATACGCTAGTCGCGATTATATAGTACTTATTTTAACAGTGATATGTTACACCTGTGTTTTATGTATTGGTTGAATTACGATTGTATCAGTATACTTTAGATATTGTTTTACAAACCATGACGGAAGAGAGTTGGAGTATCTATAACTGGAAATGAATGTTGTGTATACGTCAATATATAATTAGGTAACAGTTTTCATCACAAAAAAGATATGGTGAGGTAACAAATTAATGAAGATCAAGCAACCTTTCTCTATCAGAGCCGTTTGGAAATGGTAAATGGAATAAAAATGGGAGTGTAGCTTAGAGTACGGTTGACAACGACGAAGAGGTATAGAACATTACATGAATGTGATATAAACAGTAAAACTGATACGTAATTGATTCTCAAATCTCAACCAAGGAAGATCAGATCACATTAAGGGACAAGTTCTATAAATATTGCTCAAAGATTGCTCCGAGATTTTCTGGTCCCAAAATATGGACTATCTAGCCTTTCAATTGGGTGAACTGTAGAATTTTGTGGAAGTTTTTCGAAAGTTGACGCAAGACTTCTTTTTAACGAGTAAGTATAGAAACGTTCATATTTGTAAGGATTGCATTAACCGGAGGAAAAATCTTTTATCGAAAGATAAATTTGTAAACTATATTTAGCGGCATGAAAATAATGAACTTTAATTAAACCATTATTTCAACATAAATTATCCTATCATTAACTTTCCAAGTTTAACTTTCGATACGATTTTCATAATCATCTCTGAAAATGACTTTTTTTGTGGGTTGTTGGTGTTAGCTTCAGTTTATTGTGCAATAGCTAAGTAATACTTGCTACTATACTTACTACCATTATTATAACCTCATTGAGCATGACCCAAACGATCTTGTTCAAAGATCACAAAGAGAAACTATCAAACTAATAGTAATGCGACTATGCGAGAGATATGAATGATGAAATCAAAGATACATCACGTCACACCATTTGTCCTGTTGAAATTATTGTCATGAGATCCCATTTCAATGTGAAATCTTTTATTTTTCTTTGGTCGAATTTCAATGTAAAATCTAGTTTAAATATATTTCCTTCAACTAAAATCAAGAAAGAAGCTTAAATGAATTTAATGGCTCATCATTCTCTGTTTCTGTCGTCACCATATACTTAATGAATTTAAATTTATGTCTTGATTACATAGTAGATAAATAACGACGGTAAGGTTTGCTGTGATACAAAAAGCCCAATATGGTTAAGAGTAAGCCCAATCGGGCCGGCTTGTTGATGCGATGTACAGACTTACGGCCCATATACGGAGGCATCGACGACGCAATCTGTCTACAGTCTTCCCAACACAGCAATTAGCAAGTCAAAATTCCAGCGTGATTGACAGACTGTGAGACTTGTTAGTTACTGCCGGAAAATGTTACGGCCACCGTCCAACCGACGCCGTATATTTCTATATATATATATATCATCCTCCGCCAGCTAGAGGCGGTTTTTCTGAAAACCGTTGCTTAGTCTACACATTTGAAGTTCCCTTATTTTCACTCTTGATATGTGTTCGACAGACTGTTATGTTACTGATCACACACACTAATTTTCTTTATAATTATAATGTAGCGGCTATTATTGTTCTCAGCCGCCCCTATATCCACCACCTCATAGTAGGAATAAAGGGGGAGAAAAGAAATTCTAATAGTGTCATATAAGAGTTAATAGTATGTGACCATGAAACTATGTACTATTGGCTGGCACACACGAGTCCCACCACGAGCGTAAAACAATGACGGAGCAAGCAATCTACTCAGAGCGAGTTGACTTGAATTATTATGAAAATTTAGGAAGGTAGTTAAAATGTTACCAATTATTCTATTTTCTAAATTTATTACGAATTTTCACATGTAATTTTACTTATATATTAAATTGGGGAGCTATACCCCTCTTGACTTCAATCTAGTTGGCTAACTCCCCCACTGGCGTAAACCTAGCACACTCTCAATCTCAAAGCTTTAGTTTTTGTAGTACAATATTGCTGAAAGCGAGATTGTGAAACTAAAATGATAGACTATATAGTGTGCGTTATTGTAATATGGACGTTCTCGATTGTCTGTAGCTAATAGAAGTGTGATTATTGTCTTTAGTTAAAATCCATACATGGAGCTTCCCACCAACCTTAGTTAAGTATATGATACCAGTTGGTTTATGAACATGGTATGACGAGCTTGTGAAAACTTCAAAACAATGAGTTGACTTTCATTTGAATGAGCGAGTGAGAAGTTGTTAAGATCTATACATGAACCTCTTCCAATAATCCGACCTATTGGGGGGAGTGGGTTTACAACAGTGATCGAGCCTAGCAAGCAAAGGTCAAATGATTTATAAATCACAAGCTCTAATGATCCCACTAATAAATTAAGGGTATACCTCTATTCTGGCTAGGATGTTGATTTGGACAACATGAATAGTCAATATAGGACATTGTTAGTATTGATGAAATATAAATAAATAAAGCACCTCTCAATTTATGTGCTCCATTAATTCATAACAACTGAGAATGAATCAAAGTAAACGTATGATCCTTACACCACTCACCAAGGGAGGCCATCGAACTAGCTAGGCATGAATAGTTTAATTCGTTGACAAAAACAGGAAACTGTCTTCGGTCAAGCCTTTCCAAATTCAACCAAATAATTGAACCATATATACAAAATAAATAATAATAATAATTATTGTTAAAGAGATCGATTACTCTAGAACAAGAAACATTCGTGTTTTGATTTATTTTAGAATTAGGAATATATACATATATGTCACCATTAAAAATTAGCCTTCATTTAACACAAGGATTGTGTATGTTAGACCACAATCGATCGAGTAGCTCTAGCCCTGTACGTGGACCAACTCTGGTGTCCTGTGAATCAATTTATTTAGAATACAGGTCAACTCCCATCTATAAAAATAACAATAATATTGATATGATGTGTCAATCCAAATGAATAAATAAGTAATTTATAAGCCTCTTTCTCCATAAAAAAAACACAGAGAAGTTATAATGTAATCAGCAAAGCTTCTTCCATTGAAGAGAGCTAATCAAAGGAGTTAAGTAGAACGTACAATGTACACTAAGACGTGCTTAACTGTGCCAACAGAAACAATTTCTTCACATATATATTATATAACATGGGGAGTGGTGGTTTTGACGGTTGAAGTGTCGCCCATTGGTGGTCAAGGAGTTACTAGCTATAGCCAGAGAATTTGTCAGCTGGTGTACGTTCATAGAGCTAATAATCAATTAGCTGGTTTACGGCTAACTATAAAAATACAATTAAGTTGTATTTGTGAACAATTGGAAGTGAACAAAAATGGTGTAGATGATCATTAAGAGGCAAAAGAGGAGGGAGAATTAACGGTTGCTACATATGGATATATAGCAACCGTATTTGTTAGAGTATGGTATAAGATCCAGCATAACTTTCTCTTAACAATTCAAGTTATTGGAATCAACTGGTTCATGACATGGTATCAGTAGGGCTGAAAATTTGTCTGTCCCGTCCCTGAAGGGTCAAGATGTATAACCGTTCCGTCCCTTCCCTGTCTCCTTCTTGACCCTGTCTGACCCTCAAGGGTTGGGATGGGACGGGCCGGGTCAGTGGGTCGACCCTAATCAACACGCTATTTTTTTACAAATTACGTTTTGGTACCCAAAATTATTTTTTCTTACAATTTAGTACCTAAATTTTATTTTTTTACAAATAAGTCCATAAATTTTGATGGTAAAATTACGTTTTGATACCCAATTTTTTTTATTTTTACAAATTAGTATCTAAACTTTTAAAACTTTACAAAAAGGTCCAATAAAGTATGAGATATTTGTTGTTGCTAAGGGTCACAGGGTCAAAACGTGACCCGTCCCTAAGTTGTCCCGACCCGTCCCGGCCCTTACAGGGTCAACAAATGACCCGTCCCTAATCTGTCCCTGTAGACAAACTGACCCGTCCCGACCCTTAGGGACGGGACGGGTCGGGACGGGTCGGGACGGGTCAGTGGGTCTTTAGGGACAAGCTTTCACCCCTAGGTATCAGAGCTAGCTGGCCAAGTGATTGTGTGTTCGAATCTCCACGATCCCCAATATTAACAATTGTCTTTGCAAACTTCAAGCTCATGAGTCGGCTTTCGTTTGAGGGGGCGTGTTAGAATCAACTAAGCATGCATACACGAATATTCCGTAGGTAGATCTAATTAATTAAGTAATTAAAAGTAATGTGTGCTAGCTAAGATACATTATTATTTCTACCCCTAAAAAAGCCATATGAATTACATTGTTATACCTATATAAATATAGGTCATCGTGCGTGTACATACATACATATTCACAGAAGGGAGTTGGAGGGATCCAAGGCAAACTCCACCACAGATCTCAGCTCGTCGAAATCCCCAAACGCTAATAACTGATCTTCATCATCATGATGGACGTTACCAATGTTATGCTCGTTTCCGTACGGGCTCGAGATGTTGGACGAGGAAGCTGCCGCCATGGACGTCATACTGCTCTGCGCCATGAAGCTAGATGCAGCTGCAGCTGCCACGTGGCTCCTGACGAGGGCGGCGGCGGATGGCTTCCTGTCCACGTGGTGGCCGGGGGCAGCAGCAGCAGCAGAGAAGTCGATGAGGTGTCCGCCACGTGTGTTGTAATTACCTGACGAGGATGAGGCGTAGTGGGTGTAATTATTGGTGGATTCCATTAAAGAGGTAGTGCTGCTGCTGCTGCATGGGAAGTTGTAGTTGTAGTTGTTGGACGTGGCGGCGGCGGCGGCGGCGGTGATGGAAGAAGTGGCTGTGTTGTGAGTACTCGTGGCGGCAGGGCGTTTGGATGACGTGGACAGCTCCCTCCAGTCTGGAGTGTACTTTCTGTTGGAGGAACTTCTCTTGAAGATTCGGCAGATCGTCCATACCTCCTGTACATATATATATATATACCCATGTAAGATCATGGAGAGTGAGGAAGAATCATTTCGTCTCAATAACTCAAGAAAAATAGTTAGATAGTCTCACAAGACACTAAAAAGAGTGTTTGAATGACTAATAAGATAGCTCGATCGTCGTTGTAAGAATCCTAATTTTCCTATTATTACTACGTTTTCAATACAGGATCTTCATCGGCCGTCACCCGATCACTAAAGACATTTTTTTATATTAATTATGAGAGATAGTTCCAACATCGAATAAATATCTAGGCCTTTGTCGGTTAACAACATTAGATCTAACACAAAATACTTAGAGATTACTTTTGTTTAATTTATGACAAGAATTAAGTTGCGTACATCCAAGTTTAGTATGATCCTATAAATTACCATCCCAAATATATAGTACTATTATTCATGACCATCAAGAGATCATCTAGATTACTCTATAGGGCTTGAACTTATTACTTATTATTAGCACTTCTCGATCTCTATAACTCCTGATGAAGATTAAAAGCATAAGAATAAAAGTTAACACCATATTTTAGAGATGTTAGGCTTAGGCATGCGCAATGCATTAGCACAAATTCATGATAGTTGCACATATTTATCCGGCCGGCCACTTACAGCTTCTTGGGAGGAGGCCGGGGAGGCGACGTGGCCAAAAAAGGCGTGGTCAGCGGCGGCGGCGGCGGTTTCCGGGGTGGGAAGGCGGAACTCATGCATCATCCAGTCGGTCTTGGTGCCTTTCCCGGCGCTGCCGCGGTAGTAAACCAACGTCTTCTTGAGCCCAATGCAATCTTTCAATCCACCCGCTGAGTAGACCGGCTTGTCGATCCCGGTTGCTTTCCAGAACCCAGAACCGGTCACCCGGTTGGGCCGGATGCTGTTCCTGTACTTCCTCCCCCTCCTGCAGAAGAAGTATCCCTCTTTGTCTCCATCCCCACTTGGCCCTGCAATCATATTATTGAATCACATTGAACAAAGAAGCTTAAGAAATGGACGATCACAACACACATATGCATACCAAGATCTTAAATCGAATTTCTCAATCCATCGAAGACTTCCCACCAAATTTGAACATTTTATAGATCTCACATGGTACCATGAGCTCAAATTAGTTATTAGCATCGGGTTATAATGAATCTAAACGTTGTATAAGACGTTAATAATTAATTACGCCAAGTGGAGGAATTGTGTGCGTGTTTGATGACTTTACAGAACGGTTGGAAATTCAAAATGATCCATGACTAATTGTTGTTAAATCGAAAATCATTGTAAGAGATCCTAAAATCGATAAGATCCCATTAACATCTGCTTATTTCCTACAAGTATGATCGAAACCCTAATGTGATTGGATTACTATTACCCAATTGCACCCTAAATTTTCTGTATCAATCGTTGAATTATCAACCATTTACCCCAAATTTAGAGGAAATTAATTAACCTAATACAAGACTGATGCATGAACCCTAGGTATATGGATATATACCCACTTAGATCAATCATCCAAAATCAACAAAATTAATAGCAAAATACTCATGGACTTGTTCAAATATAGAAAACCCTAATTCATCGACCCCAAAACCATAAAATCAGTTGAAGAGAAGGAATAAATGATAATAAGTATAATTACTTGGTAGATCCCAGGGATCGTATTTGTAGATATCAACTTGCTTGATGAGCTCGATGGTGAGGGGCTTGTTCTCCACCTTCCTTCGAAGGTAGAACCCCAGCAGCTCTTCATCCGTCGGGTGGAACCGGAACCCGGGAAGCGAAACGTCGTCGTCGTCTTCGACTCCCTCTTCTCCTTCTCCTTCTTCTTCCTTTCTGTGGTCATCATCTTCGTAGCATGCAGTCATGTAAGTAGTAGTATTCATCTCTGGAAACTGGATAATAAGGCCAAATATGAAACGTTGGAGAAGGGAATATTGAATGAATGAAGAGAAATGGTGGGCGGTTGGCTGCTCTATATAGGCGCCCGCCCACTTGCATTGAACAGAAGCTAGATTTTCAAAGGGGAGAAGACAGCAAAAGCTATGTCTATAATTAAAGGCGCTTTATTTATTTATTGGCTTATTATCATTTGATTCCCTATTCTATATTGTTATACTAAATATATCCTCATGTAATGTGCTCTTTAACAAATAAATTTTTTTAGCCCATTTAGTAAATATCATGTCCAAATTTGTTACTAATCGGGTCAACCCATGCTTATACTTCGCATGCACACACATGTCTCCTAGGCGATTCACATGTCATGGATAATAAAACGGTGTCTTTTATCATGCAGTTTGACCTCATTAATCAGTCCCGACCAGTGATCTCGTTAATATGACTCCAACCGATGAATGCACGGTAAACATGAAAAATGGAATGTGGTGTTTTGAACTCTAATACAGGTGAACCATTGGAATTTCAAGCTTTCGGTCATCTGAGTCATTTAGAATGTGTTTTTATTCATCATGGATCGATCAACCAAATAAGTAAAATATCCCTTGAAAACCAAATTAATGAAGGGACAAAAAATGGATGAATGACATAGGATATATGGTGCTTAATTATGTGTTGAAGTTGTAGGACAAGGTTGTGTTGGTCAAAATGACATAGTATAGGTACTATAATTATATGATTTATTTTCTTGGTTACTTATTTAGGGCTTTGATATACTTTAATATATTAAGGAGGTGAGTGAGTGAGGGAAGAGAGTTTGGTTGGTTTGATTTGCTCCAAGTCAAGTCATGAAGTTTGACTATGGAGAGTTTTCAAAGATGTTGATGGATGCCTTTATGGCTATCTGTATGGTTTTAATTAATTTTTGTTTTCGTCTTTGGAAAGAGTCCTCTTTTCTTCCTTTGCTAGCTTTCCGTTCCTCTAATGTCTACCCTCTCTGACTTTTTTAATTATTTAGTTGCCATCACAGACCTCACCAATTCCTAATGTCTCTTAGTAGTAATTTGTTCAATACTAGAACCTAAAGCATAAAAAAAGTTAACAACTTTAATGTTTTCTTTATGATTCAATTCGTGCAAAAAGAAGTTATGTACTTATAATAGAGGCATCAGGCATAAAATATGTGATAGTGTTCTTAAGTTTATTCAACAACTATTAAAGTGGCATAATTTGCATGTTATCAATTTTGGGTTAGCAATTATCTATAAAAGTTTGGCATTTCACATGATATCTTTAATATAACACATACTTGAAAAGAAAAAAAAAAGTATAGATTAAAGTTTGCACATCATGTTGTACACTTGTACTATGTGTTTATATGAACTTTTTTATAAGGGTCGTGATTAGGATTTGACATTAGATTTTTTAATGACGGGTGATGATATTATGTAGCGAATAATTTTTAATTACAATAACTCAAGTTATTCATAATGATCAAGACTATAACTTGCATTTATCATTCTGTAAACTTAAGAGGACCCGATACAACTTAAAAACAAAGGACAATGAGAAGAACAATACTAGAACTAGAAGTATTAAGAAATTAATACATTTGCAAATATTTTTTTTATAAGAGTGATATAGGTTTGGGTTTTCTTTTTAGTTAGATACTGCTGAAAGGATTTAAACATGAGCTGGAGTTGTTGACTAAATTTAACCTCTTTTAAAAGGTGCATGTCATTCCATTAACCAAAGCAATCATAATTCAACATGTTTTAGGCACATGAACACAAACCCTAATGGACATCAGGCCCATTTGTCTCCCATTCCACATCTTCAAATTATTTGTTCTTGTTTTGTTTTTTAAACCGGTATCAAAAGGCTGTCCTAACATGTATCACTAATCATTCTGAATTCAGAAATTTCATATCATTAATTTCTCATAATGTCAACAACTTGTAAATGAAAATTTAGCACAATAAAAAAATTATCATATCATAAATTTCTCATAATCTCGATAAAGTAAAACACACAAATTTTAATCAACATTGTGAATTCGTTGATCTACGTAGACATCCAATGTATTGTTCCTCCTTGTATTCATTTTCTTTTCTCCTAAGTAAAAACGTTGAATTTCTTCCTTCTTCGTTGTCTTTCTATAAATCCAAACTTGTAACTTGATTGGGTCTAGAAGGGGCAGTGCACAATCTCTGACCAGACCATTTTTACTTATCACCAAAGGTAGAGAGGAGCCAAATACGAGTACTATTCACGGGCTTCAAATGTGACATATATACATAGGACTCATAATGAAAACATAATATTTGGTCAAATTTTCTGTCTCATTTATGATGTGGCTGACTATTATATTACACCCAATTTTTGTCTATCTCTGGTCTCCTACCTCATCATTTCATTTCATCTTGAGGTTGAAAAAAACAGAACTCTTTTGACTTTCCAAAAAAAGTTCCATGCATATTTCAGACTTCTCTAGCTAGCCGCTTCTCCCTTTGAAAGTTGTATTCCGTATGCTTTGAGTCCTAATAATCTTCAAAGTTGACAGATGTATCCGTTTTAGGATGATGCATTTTTCGTTACACATTGTCACTTCTCGGAATGGACGACAATATCTTATTCATTTACCTGATAATTAATATCATTGGATTGTCCCATAATATCTTCATATATTAGAAACATCACTAAAAAAACTCAACCTTTCCTAGCTACATGCGAATAACATAACCAACTCGCTGAAAGCTAATCTATGTCACTCTTATATAAAAAGCTTAAATATATTATTACACATACTACTAAAAAACTAAACCTTACCTACATGCGAATAACATAACCAACTCGCTAAAACATAGTATATATATGTCAATGTAATTAGGCCATTATTTTTTCTGCAGGTAGGCCAACCGCTACGGTTTAAGCAGTTGCTTATGATCCAAAACCATTTGGTAATATTCTGTATCAATTGCATTATCATATGATGTCGTATTGGTTATGTAGAGAAGGAAGAGGAACAGAGAGATGGAGAAAATTCAAAGAAAGGAATAGATAACCACTACGTACAATTAATCACCACCAGAAGAATAGACAACCAATTGACTCCAGGTGTACCCTTGGCCATATTTTTCAAGTCAAGATCACAATTCGTTGCATTCAAATTCAACAAGTCAATCCTGTACTTCAGCTCCAGTCAAACATTAATGAACCAATCTCTTGGGCCAAACTTTTTTGTGTTTATTAGACTAGTTCCATCGTCATCTGTTTGCTCGACGAACCGGAGACAACTTTGGCGTATTGATTCTTTGATAACCAAAGTGTTACCTTGTTAGAAACTCTTTTTTTCTTTTTCTTTTTTCTTTCTATGCTATCGCGATTTCCTTACATTAGTTTTCCATAAACTGAATTTTATTCGATGGGTGAAATTTTTTAACAATTATTGTCCTGACTAATTGAATTCATGAAAACCAATTATATCTTCCTCTTTGATATTAATAACGAGAATTCAGTCAAGTAGATTTGTCATTATTTAGTTCTACCCACCCGTCACAATACAATCGTTCAAGATACCTTTCAGATGAAATATTGCCTCTGCCGATCAATCGATTATACTGCTGAAGACGTGACAACTTCCATACAAACTTTTATTGCCTCTTTTTTTCCCCTTGTACGTATATTCCTTCTTTGTTTGCACATTTTTCTAACCGGTTAATTCGACTCGATCATCCTCGTTCAGACAGCACCGCCGGCCACGACTTGATTCTAAACAACTATCATCAATATTGATTTCGCTGATATCTAGTTAACATATGCAATTGGGGTTTTCCTAGGGTGATAAATTTTCAGCTCCATGGACTTTGGTGGAAGGAGGAGACAAAAGAATGTTCTAAAATGGCTTCCATGCGTCACACATCCATCCACCCATCTACCAGTTAAGAGTTTCAGTTTTAAAAACTTCAACATGATCAGAGGGCAAAGAAAAAAATGTGCACAAACGAAGAGAGGGACGACGAAGTCAAAGTCCGCAGTCAATAGCCATGAAATTTTCGTACATTGGAATGTTCCACTCTGTAATTGACACTCTCCTCCTTGATAATATATGATACGACGTTTCTTCTGCTCTTCCATTTTATAATGTCTTTGTCTCTCACTCCAGTTTCTCAACTAATCAAGGAAGTTAGATTATTAACTCCCGACCCACCAAAACCCAAGCAGTTATTAATTGTGATTTATGGCCATCCTAGGAAGGTAGAAAAAAAAAGCATCTCAGACGGTTTGTGGTTATGGGTAACCGGTCTTCTTCTAACAATGGCCCCCACGTGTTTGATATTCTTGCAAACCTTCCTATTCCCCTGCCTTGCAGGACTGTAGTTGAAGTCAAGGCTCGGAGGCCGATTCGTTGGATAATCTGATCTGATTGTCATGATTTGTATAAATTTTTTGATCGGACCCAAATGCAATAATATTGAAGTTAGATTGGATTCAATTTGGGTCAACTCATTTGGATCATACTCAAATAATTCTGCTTGGATTCAAATGATTGTACACATTACGACAATTTAATTAACCCGCCTTCAACCCAATTACACATTTAATTAACCGCCTTCATCCGAGGGCTCAGGACATTCAACATCAACTGCAAAAGCTGCAGCTCCTCGACTGAGAGCATATCTAAACACAATCAAGGTGAAACAGATGGAATCTGAAAGATACACATTACAGGAAAAGGAAAGAAAAAGAAAAAAATGTCGTCAAAGGGGCTGGGCTCTTAGATGGACCAAAATATCGTAGATATGCAAAGCTCAAAATTGATACAAGCAAAGTCCAAATTATCTGGCTTATATTGATCCTTAGTACCTGCCAATTGCCAACCATTTATTTGTGTCCACCTTTGGGTGCAAGCCCAAATTCTCCTCTCTTTTTTTTTTTGTGTGCTAATAATGTACTATGGTGTCGCAATTTTTATTTTATAATTGAG